AAAAGCGATCCGCCCACTAGTTCGTTGGTGATTTGGACGAGCTGCGTTGCCAGCAGCGGCACAACTGGAGCAACTCGATTGGAGCATGGTTTGGCATGCTGTCACCAAACGCGTTGCGATGAACTCGTTCATACGTCCGCTTTCTGAGCTGTTACCTGTTCATGAGTGAAAACCAACGGCCAAAAAGGGGTCCCGTTTTGCGTTTTCTTGACGGATTTCTCCGCTTTTTTCGCCACTGGCGTACCATTGAGCACCACCAGTCTTCTATAAATCCTTCTTGAACCTATCGTAACCACTGCCCAGGGTGAATAACGGTCGAGGAATTCCTCGACCATGGCTCTCTACATGCGAGAGTAGTGCCGAGAGTGAACATACGCGCGGAGAGCACAGACGGCTCGCGCATGGCGAGTGTGAATGTCCGCGCGGGAGAGCGTCTGATCAGGCGAAAATCCTCGACAAGCCGTTGAGGAATCCTCAAGCGATATTCACCCTGATTATTGGAGATTGTGTTATTTACTGTATATTGAATGTTTTTGAATTTGTTAATGCGCCCACTTTGCGGTGATAATGTAATAACGAAAATTTTTTCTATAGAGAGTAGTTGAACTTAGCATGCTTACGGTTTTTTCCTTGGTTGCTACGTTCGCTCTGCTATTTGCGCACTGAAAAACCTAAACATTTCGAATTTGTTCAGGTATACGCCGACGATAACAATGGCTATACTATTCAACGTACTACTACCGGATATTGTTCATTAAGTTAGTTATTGATCTGTGATTTTTTGTATTTAGAATGGACAATCCAATCAATCATGCCTGTAGCCGCTTTGTAGGAACATGTTTTACGTATAACCTCCGTTTCAGCTGAAACAACTCCACTCCCACCGACAGCTTGCCAAAATGGTGGTGTTGTTGACCCCAATAAGAATCAGACGTGTATTTGTCCACCCAACTACGCCGGAGATCAGTGAGTACCAGTTCTTCACACTCGAACAGCTTTACGCTAGGTATCGATTGGAAACCTTTCTTTACAGTTGTGAGACTGCAATCTGTCAGAACGGAGGTACCAGTCTTGGTTCCTATTGCGCATGTGTTCCAGGAACTGGCGGAACTTTCTGCGAATTGTGTGAGTCGTGAAGGTTCTCAATATTTCGTCAGAAGAATTTTCTAAATACATCTCTTGTTGAGATGAGCGGAGCACGTAGGGGTTTTATAAGTTCCATAAGTGAATCATGCACCAATCATGGCACAAGTAACACTGACCGTCAACCACTAACCAGCAACAGGTAGCCATTCTTAGGGCAGTGTGCAATTATTCGGCCAGGTCTGCGGGGTAAACATACTCCAAGGAGAACCTAGGTGCTAAAGCAGACGCTACGTAAGTCTATTTGCACCAGAAGATGCGTTCAAAATGGCTCAAATAGACCTTATGCAACAACTGCTCGCCTCGAGATATTATAGCAGCCTTAGCTACTAGCCTTTACCCGTTTGCTCTGTAGCCCTTGCCACATATATGTAGAACACGACGTTTCTTGACGATGCCCTCTATCGTAGAATCTCGCTCAGCCCCCGCAGTCGAAAACAAGGACCTATTTAGCGAGTTTCTGGCGGTTCTTCTTGAGCTGCATGCAGCAGTACCACCCGGTTATGAGTCCCAGAACTCTGCACCCACACTCGTGTCGGTGACACCATCCCATGATCACAGAGTTTTGGTAATCCTTCCCTAGACGGCGCTTGGTTTCTTTTTGATTGCAACAATACATGGTATCTCAGCTTACATCTTTGGCTGCCAACTGAATTGGCGTACACGGTGTCTTTAAGTGTAGAAGTACACCTGTTGACTTCAGATGCGTGTACGGATACAAACACGAATCCAAAAATCTCTTTTGACGGCCAATCGATGTCGTTCGTACTTTCGGCTCGTCCCACGATGCAGACAGCCCTCTCCTCCATTGCTGCCGGAATCACTGATTTCGTTCGAGATGTGCAGGACTCGTCAGCTGACTGGATCGTCACCTGGAATCTCATCGTCGTCAATAATCTCGGTAAGCTTGGATGATGCTCTGTCGTAGCTCCTCACTACAAGTTCCCTTTCAGAGGCTTCCATGGTTTACACTGGAAAGAATCCGAACGATTTTGTGATGAATGTGAAGGCAGTGGCGGCCAACCTCAACAACTACACAACACCTGGAGCAACGGTATCACAGCTTTTCCATGAAGCATGATATTGAATAATATTTTCGTATCTTAGAACTGCTCTGTAGCGATCGAGGCTGGAATGCTCCTGGCTACTTACTATTCAGAGCCTCGTTCATCTGTTTATCTCTTTGCTGATTCCGATGGACCTGATACCGAGTCTTTCATAACATTGTACTCCCATGCTACAGAATACCAAATATCGGTAAGTGCCAGAGTCACATGGTAGGGTTAATGTAGCGCTTTAGAAATACGTATCCATGACTAATACTTGTTTTACACTTTACAGTTGAACTTGATTGGTGTGGGTAATACGATTTGCACTGATCCAAAGAATAATGGTCAGTTCCCGGATTACCTCCAGAGCCTTGCTTCAATGACAGCCGGTTTTGTTTACATGACGGCACAAGTCGACAAGGTAGGAAATATTCGAGACTAAAAAATCTGAGACCATGGAAACTGGAAGTTGGGTTGGAGACGTCTTTGGTGGAAATAAGCTAGTAAGTGGGGTGACCACTCCTCCTAGAACGTTCTTAGATATCGCATATCATAGATACCGCCAACGTTTATCGGTATACATGTCTCTCTTTCTCTCATACCCCATTTATCGTGGAATCCTTTAAGCGCGCGGTCGCGGCACAAGTGGTTTGGAAGCTTGAGGCTGAATACGGTTGGCTGTTTCTATCATGTCCCTGTATTCATCATGTCCCTACAATCTTAAAAGGCTATGGCTAACTCATTCAGCTCATGTGACTATTTTCTAGTGTCATAGGTCCAGCTGGGCGTGCGCGATTCATTAATCAGCCCACCGGACCATTCGTAATGTATACGGTTCCATTACAGACTACTCAAATTTTCCCTCAATGGTGTGGCGTGAATACTAGAGCACAGACTTAGAGAACGGCGGTTACCACAGCTTCCACAGTGCCGAATGGGCTAAACGGGGGAGAGGTGGGCAAGGGTAACTGAGTGCAATTCAAGAGGTAGGGTGCATGAATCCCTTTTCCATGTACTAAAAGTTTGAACGTGAGATGCCGCTATGGTCGTAAACCACGGTTCAAGCGAGAGAACGCAGACGAGCGCAGCAAATTGGCATTTTTAAGGATCGAGTTTAAGTGGCCAGTAGACGGAAAGGGACTATTGAGGTCCAATGATGTCGTTCCAGATGTTGCCGTTCATCTCGTCATTCTACAAGTCTGGTATCGCTTCTCGAGTGTACTTCAACGATTGCTCCAAGGGTGTAACCTACTATGTTCCAATTGACTCATCAACGGAATCGTTCACATTGGGTAGGAAGAAAAATTCTTTTCGAAAATCGTTTTCAGTAGTGCGTGATGTGTAGTGTATCTGTCAGCGTGGAATATTCGAGTGACTAAACTTGTTTGCTTTTCGAATTTGTATTCTCGAGCACTCAAGTACTGGTAATTAAAGGTAATGGGTGCGATGGCTGAGAGGCGGGTCGGTTTTAGTGACGTCACTGAGCATTATTGGTGTACTGGCATTGGACGGTATTTATTATCATAACCACGAGGGCCCGTCCGCCCATTGACTTCGTCAAAACCAAACCGCCTTTGAGCCATCGCACCCACTGCCTCTGAGGTTTGCAGTATGTATAAGGATCATATATATATTTGTTACGCTTGAGTAAAGCAAAGAGCGAGTGTAAATAGTTATACTGTCGCTATCAAGGGTGTGAAGAGAAAGTGGGTGTGGCCTAAGTTTGCATGTGATTGGTGGCTTACCAGTGAGCCAATTGTAAATATCTCAGGCAGACTCCACCTATCTTCCACGCTTAGTAGGTCGCCAAATACTGCAGAGGAGAAGCCTGTCCCATCGATGATTTGAAAAAAGCTCAACAACCTCGATACGCCTTTCATTCTATTTAAATAAATGTTCAGCTGTGAGTGGACAGAATCTCACAAGCGTTGTCGTCACCCTACCTGATGGCACACCTGGGCTCTACAACATTCTTTCGGTACCAATGATAGATGATCCTGAGCTCAACATCCAGCAGTTCATCCAAGGTTTGTAACTATTGCTTCGACTTGTCGTGGTTTCATCTACTCACTCCATCAAGTGTAATATGCTGCTGGAAATACGCCGACCGTCCATTTCTGACTAATATGTAGTTTCTATTTTCAGCTTGCGATGGGTTCCAGTGGAACTACAGGGATCAGTACTGCTACAGATTCTCCCCAGAACGAGTAAGCAGTTACGAGAGCGGCTTAATTATGCATTTGTTCTGCACTGAAATATAACCCTGCATAACCCCTGATGAATTTTTCAGCTAACATGGCTGAAAGCAAATCAGTTCTGTCACGGTATTGGAGGTTACATGGCTGATGTGCACAGTCAAGCTAAGGACGACTACATTAAAGGTATGGTAGGTCACAGTTAAAAACGCACGGCGGATCATTGGCAGTGACAGTATCTCAAGTAGCTTCAACCTTTGAGCCAAGGTCACGCTAAAAGTGTTGGCGTGGTAGGCCGGGGCGGACCTAAATTGTCTAGCTCCGCCTCGGATCACCACAACCCCCTCCCAGAGTGTTCACTGTTTTCAAGCTCGAACGTTTTAAGCTCAAACCGGCGGCGCCGCTGCTTGGATTGGCCTCATTAGAAATAACAACGACTGGGTTTGGGATGTGCCTACCGGTAACAGCTATCAGAGTCTGGTAATAATTCTGGAAATCCTACAAACTCTGCCATTAAATAGTAATAAAACGCAACTATGCTATCTAGGGAGATTACACCAACTGGGCTCCAGGAGTCGATCCTAACAACACCACATTCAACTGTGTTGTGTCCGACAAGGATGGATTCTGGGTTCCAACCGATTGCAACCAGCAGAACTTCCCTGCTTGTCAGAAATATCGCTATGGACAGGGCCTGACACCAGGAAACAACACGAGTATGTTCATGTAATAGCAACAAGTTGCACATTTTAATCAGTAACATATTTTCTCTGTAGATATGGTACCAGCGGGTATGTGGAAGGTTCAAGTGCAGACCACGCAGGGAACTTGCCATGCTCATGTGCGAGCACAGTCAGATATTCAGGTAAGTCTCCATTCACTACAACGGCCAAATTGGATCAAACCCAACTCATGCTTTTTATTGGTTTCTCAACCCACAAACGCGATAGGATCTGGTGGGTCACTCCTAGGATAAGAGATCGAATAAAGATTGATACGAAATCAGTCAAAACCTCTTCCATTCACTCAGCAAATTTCTGCTTATAAGGAGTCTTACGAAATAACTCCTCTTCCAATATGAGAAAAGCACACTAAAATGGGATTGACGCCAAGTGCTACCGGCATCCTTGTTGCTTCAATAGGTGCTATTGAATAGGTGTGAGTACGTGATGATGAACGCAGATGTAGTAATTTCTCAAGCAGTAATGAAGAGAGCTAACGAAACTGCTAAGGCTCTTCATGAGTACATTCTACGCATGCCGTGTACATATGGGCGGGGCTGCTTTGATCACTGCTTCCTTCAGTGGTTGTTGAGATGGTAAAAAGGATGGGTGTATAAATTGAAGGGCGCAATTAGCACGTTGGCCCCGCCCACGCCATCATCTGCAATCATGGAGTGTCCTTTAAAGATCCTCAAACATAGCTTTCAGGGCTGTAAGGGATTGTTTTGTTTAATGTTTTTGCTTTTTTAGTCACTGGTGGACAACATTGAATGTATTGGGCTAATCCATAATTTCTGGCCGAATTTCGCCACTTTCATTTCATTGAGTTTTTTCTTTCCTGGAGAATAACTGATCAACAATATAACCACCATCGCAATCGCCATCAGTACCTTAAACTAGGATTGAATCCAGAAGGTCAAAGGGCAGTGGAATAAGTAAGTAGGGATCGAAATGGATCAACGACCAAAGCAGCGATTATGTTTGACGATCATTTGAAGAAGAATCTTGCAAGGAGTGCAGTAGGCAAGACCAGCGCTGTTTGCCTCAGTCTTTGCTACTGATCGGGCACTGGGCTATTGGCTTGAAAGCATCGGCAAAGGCGATACAAGCTGCAAAGTTTGACCTCATTCTAAGCCCCCAGTCACTTTCGATGAGGATCCATTGCGCTGTGAATCGGAAGTTCACCCGGACGCTACCACCTGAGAATTGTAGCAGATACCTGGGCACAGCCGATGCACCACCGCAAGCTGTCTGAATGAAACGGGCTGTAGCAGAATGAAGTTTCGATGGGAACGGCATGCATCTCTGACCATGACCGAGAAGCAGACCTGACCATCTGCAGAAATTTCATTCTGCGCAGGCATAGCCTGGACTTTCCCTAGTCGGTCACCAGTGGAGATGAGTCATGAGTCCACTACGACAACAACACGCGGCACGCCTTATGGCTATCTCGCAGCCTGAACCCACCATCTCACCCAAAAGCTGACCTCTCTCGTCAGAGAATATTACCCCCAATTTGTAGGATTGGTCGGGTATTCCACTTTGAGAAGTGCTTCATCTTATATAGACAACCACTGCGAAGATAACCATGGAATAACTCCCGAGGTTGGCCGCAGCAGTGCGAGAGAACCATTCGAAACGTCTCAAAATCTCCTTCCTCCGGATGAACGCCCGACCTTACATTGCGAAGATAACTCGCCACCTTCTGAAGGAAACTGGCAGGATCGCGATACCACTTCTATCGTATAGCCCTAACATTACTTCATCGCACTATCCCCTTCTCGATGCCCTGAAGCAGTACCTTCGAGAGAAAGGGGTCACTGAATACAACCACCCAAAAAACGACCTCTCCGAACTCTTCATCCCATAGCTCCACTCGTTTTGAGAGGAATGCATCCATTCGCTGCCTAGCAAATGAATGCATATCAGCGATTGCGACGGTGGTTATATTGTTGATCAGTTATTCTCCAGGAAAGAAAAAACTCAGTGAAATGAAAGTGGCGAAATTCGGCCAGAAATTATGGATTAGCCCAATACATTCAATGTTGTCCACCAGTGACTAAAAAAGCAAAAACATTAAACAAAACAATCCCTTACAGCCCTGAAAGCTATGTTTGAGGATCTTTAAAGGACACTCCATGATTGCAGATGATGGCGTGGGCGGGGCCAACGTGCTAATTGCGCCCTTCAATTTATACACCCATCCTTTTTACCATCTCAACAACCACTGAAGGAAAGCAGCCCCGCCCATATGTACACGGCATGCGTAGAATGTACTCATGAAGAGCCTTAGCAGTTTCGTTAGCTCTCTTCATTACTGCTTGAGAAATTACTACATCTGCGTTCATCATCACGTACTCACACCTATTCAATAGCACCTATTGAAGCAACAAGGATGCCGGTAGCACTTGGCGTCAATCCCATTTTAGTGTGCTTTTCTCATATTGGAAGAGGAGTTTATTTCGTAAGACTCCTTATAAGCAGAAATTTGCTGAGTGAATGGAAGAGGTTTTGACTGATTTCGTATCAATCTTTATTCGATCTCTTATCCTAGGAGTGACCCACCAGATCCTATCGCGTTTGTGGGTTGAGAAACCAATAAAAAGCATGAGTTGGGTTTGATCCAATTTGGCCGTTGTAGTGAATGGAGACTTACCTGAATATCTGACTGTGCTCGCACATGAGCATGGCAAGTTCCCTGCGTGGTCTGCACTTGAACCTTCCACATACCCGCTGGTACCATATCTACAGAGAAAATATGTTACTGATTAAAATGTGCAACTTGTTGCTATTACATGAACATACTCGTGTTGTTTCCTGGTGTCAGGCCCTGTCCATAGCGATATTTCTGACAAGCAGGGAAGTTCTGCTGGTTGCAATCGGTTGGAACCCAGAATCCATCCTTGTCGGACACAAACACAGTTAAAGTGTGTTGTTAGGATCGCTCCTGACGAAGTTGGTGTAATCTCCCTAGATAGCATAGTTGCGTTTTATTACTATTTAATGGCAGAGTTTGTAGGATTTCCAGAATTATTACCAGACTCTGATAGCTGTTACCGGTAGGCACATCCCAAACCCAGTCGTTGTTATTTCTAATGAGGCCAATCCAAGCAGCGGCGCCGCCGGTTTGAGC